AAAGGGAAGTCACCCCTAAGTCTTATCCAGAACTCAATTTTTCAGTTTACAGTTAATCATATCTATGATTTTTTTTTGAGAAATAAAAAAAAAAAAAAAAAAAAAAAGACAGATAAACTGACCTCACATGTTGACAGTATGATACACAGGACTTGGGTGAAATAATGACTCATCCTTAGTTTTCATATATTCATTTGGGTGAAATAATGACTCATCCTTAGTTTTCATATATTCATTTGGTTGGTGAGTCAAGCAGTAGCTAAACTTGGTCTCTGTAGGTGGATTTCTCCCTAGACATTCGTTACATTTCTCCTCTACTGGTGTTGAGGTCCAGATCTTGGAGGAAAGCTTCATTGTTCTGAGGGCAGTTGGTGTGACAGGCACAGGTCCCGATGACCATCACTGGTTTCTTGACGATTTGCCCTGGAGAGCACTGGAACTCAACCTGGATGGTTTTGGTGTTGTGTGGGGTGCAGCATCGGCCATCACTACAGACCCCACAGAACCTGGGCTTGTAGGTGTGCAGGCTGGTGCAGTTCTTGAACTGCAGGTGAATGGCTTTGAGTGACTTCTTGGTACGGAGACACTTTTTTCCTTTCTAAAATTGAAGAACAACAGGAATGCATGGATGGCTACTATTCCTCTGAGGAACTATTTTCGGAGTAGGAAATAACCTGTCCAATAGCCATTACTATTCCTGTTTGCCTAATGGAATGGAAACTTTGTTTGGAAAATATACTCAGTTAAAAGCATTTGCCTCCCCAGACGAAGTGGGAGCTTGGGATGGCCTTGTGGTCAAGGTCTTGCCAATGAATTACCACCTAAAGGATTCTCGGAAATCCTTTGCCTTCCTGACATTTCCTGACATGTTTCCTCTTCCTTCCAGCATTGCCTCCTGTCTGCTTGCAATGTGGGCACCACACATTCTATGACCACATGAGGGAGTGGTACCACAAGAATTGTTTGACCTTGAGGTGACAAGCATGAGGGTGAAGGCATGTGTATGATAAGGAAACACAATCATATTTTAGACAACTCGATGAGGCTTGTTATTTTTAGCCAAGTGTATTCTTAGGTGTCATAGAGAGAAAGGGAATATAAACCTGGCTACAGCGTTTCAAATTCTTTCTGACATTAACCCATTTAATCCTTATTAACAACATTCACTCATATAAGAACAGTTAGCATGCGGACCCAGTAAGACAAAGTCTCTGTTGTGCAATCATGCAGATTTTGTAGGGGAATAGGGAACACACAGATCTTGATAATACTCAGTGTAAGGTTAGAGATATGAATGAGGGCACATAAGAGGGACATCTTAGTCCACTGTCTGGATGGTATTACTACCCAAGGTTTATAAATGAAAACACAGAAGCTCAAAAGTCTAAAGAGATGAGAAAGCAACCAGTAATTGAATTTGTCTGATGGCAAAACTCAAGCTTTCTTTTATACTATGACTATAGGAAATTCTAAAACAATGGGATTCAGGTTATTTTCTATGAAGGTAAGTCAAGTATAGAATTTCATTCAGATTCCACTAATAATGGTTTTGGAAACACAGTTGTGACAATTCAAGAAAGGCAGACTGATGCCTATCTCTTCACTTCTTTGCTGCGATCACTCTTCATCTTCTCAGGCACTGTCAGACTTAGGTTTCTCTTACATTACCTAGTTTGTGCGGTGGTCAGACACAGAATTCTCTTACACTGATTGGTAGTTCTCAAACTTTTGCATGCTTTAGAATGATCTACAGTCTGTTTAAAAAGTGAACTGACAGAGTTTCTGATTCAGTGAGTTTAGTACGGGTTCCAAGGAATGTATTTCTGACAAGTTCTCAGTGATAATGATGTTTTGGGGTGTGCACTTTGAGAACCATGGTCCCAGATTACATAGGAAGCTCCTGGGGATAGGCAGTGATGATTATTTTGCTATTATTTCCCTATGTTCCATATACTACCTGCACATCAATTTGCTAAATAAAGTGCTCCCCAATATTAACTGGAAGCAAGCTACAAGGAAAGAACATACATTTTGGACAACGAAACAATAGAAGAAACCATGTTTTAGAGCCAGGAGATAGAAAAACCTGATTTGAAAAAGAGGTTAAAAAATTTCATGAATTCTTATTTCTTCCTTTTCATATTTAATGTTTAGCTTATATTCTAGCCTACACCACAAAATGGTACAAGGTCAGCAACAACTCCATGTGTGTGTGTGTTTGTGTCTGCATGTGTGTGTATGTATGATTGCTTATATGGGTGAACTGTGTTACATGTTTGTTATAATTTGGGAAGGTACAGATTTTAGGGGATACTTTTAGGGATAAGGTTATTTCTGAGCATTCTCTCAGAAACAAAAACTTAGGATGAACCAAAAAAACTCAATAGCTAAGCAACTATATAATAATGCAACTACTTGGGACTTTTAAAAATCTTTGCTAATAAATGAAATTTGAAGTAATGCTGGTTACTGTTAGCAAGTGCTTAGTACATGCCTAATATTTTGCAAATTCATTCCATTTAATGGCAAGCATGGGGTGGGTTCTACCAATGGTCTTATTACACAGGGGATGAAATTGAAGCTGAGAGAGGTTAATTGCCCAAAGTCATCTACCCAATCCAGGTGGCAGGCAAGGATTTGGAGCCAGATTATCTAGCTCCAGAGTTTGCACCCGTAAGCATTAGAAGACATTGTTTTAGTCCAGAGATATGCAAACCCTTCCTTATGAGATACTGCTATATTTTGCCCTTAAGCTTGTACAAGGGTGTACATAGCTGTTGAGTGCTTCATTAATCTGACAAAGGGTTCTGGTAACAAGGTCTGTGATGTCATCAAGAACCAATCAGAGTTTCTGATCTGCATGCCTCAGACTCAGTGTTCACACACTGAGTTCATACACTTCCAGCTAACAAAACAAGAAACATGCTATTTAATGTGGCTGATACTGCTTTATACTGGCAAGTGTACTTTTCCTCTAAGCCTTTGAAAATCTTGAAATTCATAGATTCCCATTCATTTGTTCATCAACAATTACTGGGCATGCTATGTAACCAGGTAGACTGCGTGGTGTTCAGACATGGTCCAGTTCCCATTGCTTTCTACAAAGTGAGAGGGGAATGGGGACTTTCTGAAATCATTTAGACTTGGTGACTTTGTAGCCAGTTTAATCCAGGAATGGAATGGGGACTGTCCAGAGAATTCTGACTTGGGGAAAGTATTGAGTTGTATGGACCCTATCACTTTACTTACGGGTTTGCTGAGTTATTTGGTGCACTACAATACATTAAAGAGGAAACAAGGTGCAAGTGTGCTCAGGTTGGGCCGGAAATCTCTCGGGGGTGGACTCCCAGCTACAGCTGACCTTTGAGTCAACCAACACTAACCTTCTGAAGCTCAGTCTCCAATGAAGCAAGACCCTGTTGTCTGTGATAGACAGGAGACTTCTGCAGGCTCCTTACCTTCTCTGTTGGTTGCTCAGGCTCTTGTTCACAGGGTCGCACCAAGCAGAGCTGAGTCTGCTTCACCATCTCACACTGCGGATTCCTGTTGGTAACCCTAGTGGACAAGCCCATGCCGCAGCTCCTGGAACAAGCGCTCCACTCTGTGGTCTGTTCAATGCAGTTGATACTCGAGTCAGAGACTTCAACTCCTAGGGTGACCTCTGGTCTGTAGGCTATGAAACGTACAAATAAAAATACAGGAATCACCAAGTGGTCCTTTGAATCATTATTAGAAAGAGGGTCTTATCCAGTTCTGTACCTACTAAATTCTGGTGTTCCTAGGAGCAGATCTGGATCTCTTTATTTACTGATACTTAACAGTTAGTTGGAAGTCCTGGTGTGGTACCGTAGAATAAGCACTGGACTGCTAACTGCAATGGCATCGGTTCAAACTCAACTTGGAAATCCTTTACAGGGTTGTTATGAGTTGGAACAGCCTAAATATCAGCAATAACGACAATTAGTCAGCACTCATCTGCTGGTGTGTCACACTGTGTTGACTTGAGCATTATTGTTATGACGTTGGAAGATACACCACCAGTATTCTAAACATCATCAGGCTCACTTTTGGTGGACAGGTTTCAGAAGAGCTTCCAGACTAAGATAGACTAGGAAGAAAGACCTGTGATCTTCTTCCAAAAATTAGCCAATGAAAACTCACGGATCCCAACAGCATATTGTCCAGTATAGAGTTGGAAGATGAGCTCCTTAGGCTGGAAGGCATTCAAAAAACACAGTGGTCACAACAATGGACTTGAGCAGACCAGCGAGCATACGGTGGCTTAGTTCTGGGACAATGTTTTGTTCATGAATGAGAGCTGATTCGGCAGCAATTGACACCAATAGGCCCAATCCACACACAGAAGAAATCTTTGTACAATGACTCTCCAATGAATTACTAAGAAGCTTAGAAGAACGTGTCTTTAAGAGTATTCTCTTAAGGACAGAGAATACTCACCATAAACCCACAGCCATAGAGTCAATTCCAACTCAGCGATCCGACAGGACACAGGGAGCAGAAAACCTCATCCTTCTCATAAGGAGTGAGTGGCTAGTGATTTTGAACTGTCAATTTTGTGGTTAGCAGTCCAATGCCAACTAAGCAATTAACAGTGAGTTAAGCAAAAAGAAGACACTGTTGTTGTTGTTGTTGTTGTTGTGTTGCTAAGTGCTGTTGAGTTGGTTCTCACTCATAGAGACACTGTATGGGATTTCCTAGGAGTGACTGGTGGATTTGAACTGCCGACCTTGCGGCTCAAACTGCCTCTGCGGTCCAGTGTGTTATCCTGCAGTGCCATACCAGGACTCCAAAAGAAGACACCAGAGCATCAAAAACTAGCCTTTTTAGTGTTCTCAACATATGACTTTTACATTAAAAACAAGATTATGATAAAATTTTAATTGTGATTAGTAAGTAGAATCGCTCTCTTCAAAATAGTGATGGAAGTTGTGCTTTGCTTTTGGGCAGCAGAAGGGGTTATTATGGCCACATGATACAGAGACTTGGACTTCGATAACTAAAAGTTCTGTCAGAACAGGAATAGGGACACATTTCTACATGGTAGTTCTCCATATAAGGCTGGCTGATAATTTCTGGTGGCAGAAATTCTATAAATCTCACAAAACTGAAACAACAACAGCAGAAACAAAACAGATGCTGTGAAATTGATTGTGACTCATGTGGACCCCATGGAAGTCAGAGGAGACCTGTGCTCCATAATGTTTACAATGTCTGCGGTCCTTCAGAAGTAGATTGCCAGGACTTTCTTCTCAGGTACATACCTCTGAGTGGATTCTAGCTACCAGTCTTGCTTTTGTAGTAAAGTGCTCAACCATTTATCATTTATGGACTAAACTCAACATACTGATAATATAAATGACCTGGCTTTTCAATAGCTTCAAACAGATAGGTCAACTCCTAAGCATCTTTTCCCCAGAAAAAGATTTCCTTTAAAACCAAACCAACTGCCATTGAGTTGATTTTGGTTCCCAGTGACTCTGTATAGGGTTTCTAAGACTGTAAATCTTTACAATAGCAGAAAGCCTCATCACTTATAGAAGTGGTTGGTGGGTTTGAACTGCCAACCATGTGAATAAACAGCGCTTATCCTAAGCACCAGAGTCTTGGTGCAGCGCTATGCGTTAATGTGCCAGACTGCAAAGCCGTTTGAACTGCAAGGTCAGCGGTTCAAGCTCACTAGCTGCTCCTCGGAAACCCTATGTAGGGTCGCTATTGGTCAGAATCACCTTGACGGCACTTAACAACAACAACAACAACATCCTGAGCACCACCAGGACTCCTGTTTCCTGTGTAAGATAAAACAAAAACACTTGACTCTTCTAGCAGCGTCTGGAACAGTGATATTTCATTGTAACACCTGTCTAGGTTGAGGAACATTCCTCAGGGAGGCTGCTTTTAAGAGGACATAGTGTTTGCAATCTAGAAAATGAAGAGCACTTTTTATTTTTATCTTTGTAACATTACTAAAGATAGAAATAAAAATTGCTCTTTGTAATATTACTAAAAGGAGCTCTGGTAGCGTAGTGGTTATGAATTGGCTGCGAACCTTAAGGCCAGCAGTTCGAACCTACCAGCCGCTTTGTGGGAGAAAGATGAGGCGTTCTGCTCCCGTAAAGATTTACAGCTTTGGAAACCCTGTATAGGGTCGCTATGGGTCGGAACCGACTAGACGGCACTTAACAACAACAACAATATTACTAAATGTCAAGTAGGATTGACTTAAAAAAATCCAAACAGTGGTCATTCAGCAAGACAAGGTCAGTCTCATTGCTTGATTAGGCAGGTCCTTTTTCACAGACATAGCCTAAACAGTGGACTGAAACATAGTAACGTTATTGAAGAGGACAACTTTGCTGAGTTATCATTCCCTGAGCTGACTGGACAGCAACTGACAACAACACAACTTTAGAAGCCCTTGTGTGTATATTTCAGGAATCTACCTTGGCTGTAAATGGGTTTGGACGTTTGTTCTCAGTGGGCATTCTGGAATCCACCACTGAATGGCCAGAAACTGAGATCCGTTTTCTCACTTGACATCCAAAAGGGTCCTCATGCTAGCCTGCCTTTACCTTACAGGAAGGCCCTGGAATCCCCCTCAGGCACATGGAGCTTCTCACCTGGTAGGGCGAGGCCTCCCAATCCCCCCTCATCCTCGGGGTCACAGATCCACTTTTCACAGCACTCCCCTGGCACCTCAACTTTTCTTGGAGCTGGGCAGTCAGGCCGGGGCAAGAGCAGGTCATGGTTGCAGCGGGGCACACAGCCAATCTGCCCATCTCTGCAGGTGCACTGGTATTTGCAACTTGGCTGGAAGGTCTCTCCACTGCGGTAAATGACCCCGTCGAACACACAGTTGTCTCCTTCTAGCACTAGGATATTGGGAAAGTAGGGGAGAGACAAACAAGGGGAAAGAAAACAGGACAGGATGCATCAGAGAGGCTAGGTAAGACGTGCCAGCAATATTCAAACCCTGAGTGGTTCTTTTCTAATTCCAGTGATGTGGTTTCTTCTCCATTACATTAGGGATACATTCATGGAGGTTCCCTCAGAGCAAGAAGAAACCATCAACACGTTCTCATTACACACCCACTGACCCCTAACTATTGATTCCTGTGATAAATGTCATTTTGCAAGAACCTTTCAAGATACTCCTACTCCAGAACCTCATTGTTGTTAAGTGCCATCAAGTTGGTTCCGACTCATAGTGACCCTGTATAAGGTTTCCAAGCAGTGACTGGTGAGCTTGAACCACAAACTTTGCAGTTCAAACCAACTTTACAGTCCAGCACATTAACCCACAGTGCCACACAGGTTAAATGGCCAAACTGGGAAAGGCAGTGGGATGCTTTGGTATTGAAGCAGAGGAGTAAGTCATGACTGGTTTAGATCAAACAAGAAAGGTTTTCCTAAGCACCCTATGTAGAGGCAGGGAAAGCCTCACACTACAAATAGTTAACCAGGTGGAAAACTGATCCTTCAGTTGAGTAAATTTCATGAGTCTGGGCTGGCTAGTTAGTTGTCTGCATTTTATTTTGCCACTTAAACAGGGGTTACATAGTCACCCCCAGGAGACTGGGGGCGCTTTGACTTAAATCGGAGGATTACAGGTGTAAAAACAAACCTGCTGAACTGCAGTTTGTGAACTGTGGGGGTATGGGCAAACCCACGCTTCCATCACCCCCAAGTGCGTCCTTGGAAATGCCCAAAGGAAATGACTTCACTTGTCTTTAATTCTGTTTCGCTCCATTCTCACGTCTCTGGACAGGTTTCCTATCTGGCTTCTGGCATTCCCCAAAGCCCTATGCACCCCCAGACCATGCCTGGTTCCAGAAGCTTTTCCTATTACATCCTCATCCGCATTAGGATTATTGCTCATCACTCTTTGGGAAGGGGGAGTAAGAGTGGGAGCTCCAGCTGTCCTGGGAGAAGGTTCCAGAGATGTGGAGCCGGATTACCCATGCAGATGCCGGTTTGGGTGCGGGGATCGGCGCTGCGGTCACAGTAGAGGCCGCTGCTCTCCTCGCACGGCTCCAGCTCCGAGCAGCTCTCGCCGCGCTGGCGGGCGCACACCAGGCAACAGGAGCAGCCGTCCAGCACGGCGGGCACCCCGGGAGCGCAGGATGGCGGCGCCGCGGGACACCGGTCCGGGCACGGGGAAGGGCAGTGCTGAGCCAACACGACCTGGGGGCGGGCGAGACAAGAAGGAGGAACCCTACAGTTGGGACAGCCAAGGGCGGGCGAGCAGGGGCTTGTCTCCGAAGTAATCTGGGGTCCTGAGGGGCGCACCGCTTACCTGGCCCAGGAGATGCAGGAGCAGAAAGGCCAGGCAAAGGCGCTGCTTTCGCAGGTAGAGGCTCAAGCTCTGCCCGCTCGGCATGCTCGGGCGTTTTCCTGCCGTTCTTACTGAAAGAAGACTTTCTAAGGCTTCGTGTTGCTGCCAGCTGTCCCCGGGTTCTGAATTGCCGCTCCGCCCGCGCCACCGCACAAGTTTTATAGCGCGCTCCTGAGACGCTCACAAGCCGGTTGGCTGCGGCGCGGGGAGGAGGGGGGGGATCGACTGGGTGGGGAAGTGGATAGAGCCCTGGGGTTGCCATGGCAATTGGCCGCGGGGGCTGCTCTCCTCAGGGCGCGGCACCAGGGCCTGTGTGTGGCTACTGGCTTTTCCCAGGGTTCCGGGAGGGGCTGGGTGGAGTCCCGGGGCCGAGCCTCAGGGCTCGCTCGAGCGCGTGGGAAGGAAACGCCTGTTTCCTCCTGGAATCGCCTTTGCCTTCCCCCAGGACAAAGATACCGCCACTCCCCATCACTGTCCTCCAACCAGGCGGTTCCCACCAGGGCTGCGAACCGTGGGGCTCTCTTCACGGAATGCCTGGAGTTTGGGGCCTTGTGCGCGGGGCTGGCGAGAGGCCTGGGAGGTTAGTCATAAGGGGAGCACATGCAAGTTTGTCACCATTTAGGGAACTCATTGCTTATGTGTGTGTGTGTGTGTGAGAGAGAGAGAGAGAGACAGAGAGGGAGAGAAAGAGAGAAAGAGGGAGATTACCTCTGGATAAGTAGGAGTGAGGGATGGAGTGAAGGAGTAGAGAAACAGAGAGAGAGAAAGAGAGAGAAAAGAAAAGACTCTGTAAGGATGGAAGATGCTCCAGGCCAAACGCCAAAATTCTTTTTATCTGCCTAGTTTCAAGCATCGGTGAGGCTTGGATCCACAGTTTTGATCTAAATACAATACAATACTATTTGAAAAAACAAGAGCCTGAGGTGAATACTAAGTTACTTCTTGGTAAAGAAATCTTGAAACAACTGCCTAAAAACAGCACATCTAAAACTCCTGGAGTCTCTGAGCATTTTCTAGATGTGTTCTGCTCAGCCACTGTGGAAACCTCGGTGAATTAAAGGAAGGTGTGAAGACCAAACTTGTTTTACTTGGCTCACTCTTCAGCCAATCAATTCCCTCTCCCACCAGGCACCTATTTTTGGACAATGGCCACTTTCAAACCTTAGTCACTTCTCATTAGAAGAGAGAGCAGGTTTATTGCTCCAAAGGTGACATTTCCTTCGTGTTTAAACTTCACTGCTATTCCACATGTTAACGATGCCCAGCTCCTTCCAGGATAGTGTGTTTTGAAAGCCAGTTTATAAAAAAAGTTACACAGACCTGTGACATCACTCTAGACTTTATAAAGAAATAAACGATTTCTCTCCATCAGCCAACTCCAGAATGAAGAAAATCAAAGGCAGCTTGTGTATGGGACCACAACTTCCTCCGCAACACCCGCCACGGGTGATGATGTCACCTCAAGGTGCCATGACGTACTGCCAAGACTCTAGTACTAAATTCTATCTTTGAGGTAAATCAGACTGAAGAGTAGTCAGTATTCAGAGACTGAATAGTTAATGTGGGCCCTTGTCCAGGACACTCATGTATTCTTTGAGTTGAAGGGTTTTACAGATCATCTGGCCCAGTGATACCACAATCTAGTTGCACTTTAGAATCAATCAAGATAATGTATATATATGTTGTTGGTAAGTGCTGTGGACTTGGTTCTGACTCATACTGACCTTGTAAAGGATTTCCCCAGTGTGTGTGTGTGTGAACGGTGGACCTTATGGTTCATAGTCCAGTGTTTATTTTACAGAGCCACTGGCAGATAAACACTGGACTGCTAGCTGCAAGGTTGGTGGTGCAAGTTCAAACCACTGCTGCTCCTCTGAAACCCTGTACAGGGTCACTGTGAGGCAGAACTGACTCAAAGGTACTAAACAACAGTAACAATATGTTGTTGTTGTTGTCAGGTGCCATCGAGTCGGAACCGACTCATAGCAACCCCATGCACAGCAGAATGAAACAATGTCTGATCCTGGGCCAACCTTACTACTGCTGCCACACTTGACAGCATCAATGATGCCACCTGGCCTATCCATCTTGTTGGGGGTCTTCCTCTTTTTCTCTGACCCTCCATCTCACCCAGCATGACATCCTTCTCCTGCGACTGTTCCCTCCTGACAATATGTCCAAAGTATGAGAGACGAAGTGTAGCCATCTTGGCCTCCAAGGAGCACTCTGGTTGCACTTCTTCCAAAACAGATCTATTGGTTCTTTTGGCAGTCCATGGCACTTTCAGTATTCTCCTCCAACACCACAACTCAAAGGCATCAATTCTTCTATGATCTTCCTTATTCACTGTCCAGCTTTCACATCCATATGAGGTTATTGAAAATACCATGATTTGGGTCAGGTGCACCTTAGTCCTCAAGCTGACATCTCTGCTCTTCAATACTTAAAAAAGTTCCTGTGCAGCAGATTTGCCTAACGCAATATATATATATATATCCTTGGGCCCCACCTCAGACCCACTTATTTGGATCCTCTGGCAGTAACTATTGCTAGACACCATCTTAATATGTTTTCAAATGAGGATCAGGTTTCAGGAAACATTCCTATAGAGTTGTTTGGTTAAAGTAGAGGGTCCGCAAAAACAAGGGACCTCTTGATGAAATGGATTTACCCAGTAGCCTCAGTCATGAACTCAAACACCCAGATTATGAAGACAATGCAGGATCAGACATTTCCTTGTCATAAGGGTGCCATGAGTCAGTACTGACCAGTGGCACATAACAACAGCAGTTATTGAAAGCATAGTTTATGGCCATGCAAGAGCATTGGCCGAGCATTGAAAGTACGACTCATCTGAGACAGAACAAGAAGCAACAGACAGCACTGAGATTCCCAATGATCTTTTCGCTAAGTAGGAGGATGAGAGGAGCGGTGCATCTTTAAGACAAGGGCTAAATGTTAAGAAGTCACTGCTGATGTGAGCTGCTACTCAGGACTCTTGGTTGCAAATGGCAGAAATGGAATTGAAACCAGTTTCAGCAAAAGAAGACTTTACTGGAAGAATACTACAATATTTTACATAGTAACAGAAATGTAATTGTGAACTAGGATCAGGACCTTAAATGCCACTGGACTGCCTCTCCATTCAGCCTTACTGCTGCTTTCTGTGTCAGCCTTAGTCTATCCCACCACAGACCAGCTTCTTCCATCAAAGGGGAGTATCATCCTTAACTGACTCCAAGCCTCTTATATTATGACCTTATCAGCACAGAAGGAAGTCCCTCTCCCTTAGACTCAATTTGGAAAGTTCTAGAAAAAAGTTGTGTGGGTTCACCCTTGACCTATTAGTGGTTTAAGTATGAGGATTAAGTTACAGCACATCATTGGAGTGGGGAGCAAGAGAAGTTTCTTAGGTAAAAGGGAATGATTCAGGAAAGCAACGCTAGAGGGTAAAACAATAAATATCCACTCTGTTGTTGTTGTTGTTGTTAAGTGCCATCGAGTCGGTTCCGATCCATAGCGACCCTGTACAAGGTTTCCGAGGGTGTAAATCTTTACGGGAGTAGAAAGCCTCATCTTTCTCCCGCGGAGCGGCTGGTAGTTTTGAACCACTGACCTGAAGGTTCGCAGTCCGATTCGTAACCACTACGCTACCAAATATCCACTCTATGTGCCATAAATGGCCCTGGATAATGATCTCTGCAGTAAATCACTTGAAAATGGAAAGTGGACACCTTCAGAATAGCCATGTTAATGTCGGGTTTTGCTTTCCCCAGGAAGTCTCCCCTTAAATCCAGCGAGACTTTAGCCCTCTGTCCTCAGTGCAGGCCTGTTGCCTCTTGCTTATCACAGTTAGGGCTAATTTGTTGGGTAATAGTGATGTGTCTCCTGTGTCTGTCTGCTTCTCCTTGAGCAGAAGGAGCATGTTATAGATACCATAATCTCCCCAGCATCTACTTCAGTGATGAACATGTGGCCAGCTATCCTTAAACCTTTTGAGATAACGGCAAACTTCATTTTGAATTTGTCACTGCTCTGTGGATGATGAATTGAGATCCATCCACTGATGGTTTGCGCCTCATCTTTGTTGTTGTTGTTAGTGCCATCGTGTCAGTTCGAACCCATCGCGACCCTGTATAGGGTATCCGAGTAGTGACTGTTGAACTTGAATCATGGAACTTGCGGTTCCAACTGACTTCGCAGTCCAGTGCATTAACCTGCAGCGCCACACTGAGCCTCCTTCTCATCTTTGTTGTTGTTGTTAAGTGCCATCAAGTCGGTTCCTACCCATAGCGACCCTGTATAGGGTTTCTGAGGAGCAGCTTTAACTGAGGTTAAATTAGTTCTATACAGTCATCACCCAGTCTCTGATATCCACCTTCTCTCAATTTTGCTGGCACAACAAGGTCAGCAGTTCAAATCCACCAGTTGCTCCTAGGAAACCCTATATAGGGTCGCTATGAGTCAGAACAGACTTGAAGGCACTTAACAACAACAACAACAACAACATGGGGCAAAAGGAGATAGGCTAGGATGGTGACCTTCCCCTGTTTGAAATATCGTGCATACCCGTTGAGGTCTCTGGTGAAGCCAGAGGAGAACTTACTAGAGAATCTGCCGATGTTTCTGGGCTTGGTTGTCAACCAAGGTAATAACTCCATGAGGTTATAAGGTGCAAAGACTTTGGCCAAATCACTTTTTCCCTTCATTTCTTCCTCTTCTCTCTTTCATCCTATATATGGCACCATCTTTTTTCATTTTTCACCTATAAGTCGATACACCTACCCGGAACACCTTTAGAAAATTTCCTAGGTTTTATAAAGGTAAAACTTTGAGCTGTTTTCATTGCTATTTTCATATAGTAAGAAATTTAAAACAAATTAATGCTTACCTCTGTGGTGGTAATGGTTGTATGCTTTGGAGTTACTTCTGCAATCAACTGAAAGAATAAAGCATGATCCTTCCGTGTTAAAACACTCACAATAACCAATGACTATGAGTTCTGGTGTGGCGCTGTGGGTTAATACGCTGGACTGCAAAGTCAGTTTGAATCACAGGGTC